CGGACCCCATACGATTTCCCCTTTGCTTTTTCCACAAAAACGAATTCCAGCTTGCCTTCCGGAGACCTGCAGCCAAGGTCTGGTTTAAGGCGTTCACTCTCAAAGTTACTCGTATAATTCTATAGTAGTTGCTCTCCAATCTGAGAATTAATTCCGTTGTTCAAGGGTTACATTAAGCCTACGATTTACCTTGATGTCAAATGTTGCACGGAATAGTAACATTGTCTTCATGTGTGCGTTTCGGCGAGTAACTACTTCACCGTCAAGGTTTGGGTGAACAGCGCTGTGGTTTATGCAGCGACCTAACACCACCGTGTCCTCAAAGATGGGCTCGTGTCCGAAGATCGCAAGGTGGAAAAACCGCTCATGATAGTCAACTGAAAGCAACTTAATTTTCTTTTAAAGTTTTATCTGGATATCAAGTATTACCCGTGAAATTGACAAAATAACTTCCCGCAATTTTGCGCTCTTTCTCCGTCATTCGACTCAAGTTCTCACTCGCTTCCTCGGATTCACATATTTTTCCCTAACAATAACATGTCGACTGGAGAGTGTGCAACAGAAATGTAACTTACGGGTAGTCACAAACCACTGAGCCTTTTGGGATGTGTGTTTTGGCATATAGAACTCGCCCATCAACGAAAGGACTTACCCATGGAAAATCCTTAAAGAGGTTTGTATCGATTTTGTTAGTATCACTGCGTGGGTAACATAATTAACTACCATAATTAACTTAAATAGCTCAAATGAAAAAGGCCTGAATTGGGACCTGCTGCCTCCGCCTAAGAAAATCTGCCATTTCACTCCAAAGATAAAGAACTTAGTCCACCGTCGTAAGGACGATTGTTCAGCAACTGCAAATTGGCAGCGACGTCATCAAGTTTAGCGACGCTGCTGGTTTCCCATGTGTTGTTGTTGAACCGCTTCTAAAAAGTATATTTCAAAAGAAAAATCACTACTTACCGAATTATCTAAGCTTAACTACTTAAGTCAGTCTACCTTCTTGTTCTGCTTGTCCGACACCGACTTGCCCTTCCGGCAACACCGCACGCTGCTCCAGCTCTTAAAGTGAAATTAAAGAAAGGGTAAGTCACTGTTGCACCAAGCAGACTCATATGAAAGCCTCACGATCATCTTCTTCGCTGTCAGATGTTGTTTTCTCTGTTTCTGTCGTATCCTCAGCCTCCGATTCCACATCACGGTTGAAGCTGAAGTAGAATCGTGTTTAATAACGATATGTTTTGAAGAAATCATCAGGCCAAAGCAAATATATCTATGTCATGCTTCGCAATTTTGACCATTCTTCTCACATGCTCCACGTTTTTCTTGTGTCTGCGCTCCTCTGCCGCTACATAACAAATTTCTTATATCCGGAAGCACACGACGAAGTGTAGTCGTCATTGTAAGCAGCAGCTGCGTCCGCTGTGTATGTCCTTTAATTTCTATTAAATGAACTTCCTCGTAAAGCTGTCCACCTTTATGACATATTGGTGCCAACATACCAGCTAAAATGGCACAGTCGGCATCGGCACCACAATAATCTTTATATGACTGTTTGATGAATTTTCCATATTGCAGTCGTGCAGCTCGATGTCGCGACTGGAACAAGTTCAAAATTTATATTAGAAATAGAATGATGGGAACCTACCGTGTTACAGGAAATTAGAAGGCGTTTACAGCCAATTTTCTAAGAAAATGTTTCATCAGCACTGTTACTGCGGCCTTTACCACATGCTCGCCTATCCACTTGAGAAACATTGGCGCAACAGTCGACTAAGCTCCTCTCCTTTGCGATTCTTCCTCACTATGCTGAGATACTGTGATTGAAACGCAACGAGTTGATGAGGCCTCCTATGCTTACTAGCTGCGCAGCTCAATGTAGTTCAACATGAATCCATTGGATGCTTCATCGAGCACAAAGAAGCCACAGCTATACGTACTTTCTTGTCGAGCTTAGTGCATGGTTGGAAAACGGATAAATACCACATCAAAATAGTGCGTTCTATTATATATTGACACTTTTAAACTATAATACCCAATACTGTGCCTTTGCGTAGCTTATCGCAACTTCTTTTATCTGTAGTCCAGTACGAGCTTCGAACAGAGTTATGCTTCCACTTCTCATTTTGTAAATGCATTCATTTCTAGCAGTATTACATTGAACAATATAGCACATCAACGCACTGCAATGAGATGACTTTGATGAAAATTTGGAGTGAATTGATCTTAGTAACTCGTTAAAGTTATTATACTCCCGCATGCTGATACTATTGTTTGTTTTGAAGCTCTCGTAAATGCTCTTCAGTTTTTGTAAAACCAATTTATGTTGAACGACAGCACGCGCAACGCAGTAAAATTCTCCTTTCTGAATTCGATTAGTCCAAAAACTGAAAAAATTAAGACAAAACCAAAATTCTAACTTTCATCGCTGTCGCTTCTCGAGCTATACCACGAAATGACTCTTTTGCTTTTTTCTCGAACCTTATTTTATTTGCAATCGTTTCTATCCGTTCAATTGCTTGTTGAATAACCGTGGAACGTAAATTTGTGGCTATTGCTGAAAAAA